TTCAGAAGATAAGAGCAGGCTATGGGGGTGCCAGTTCAATCATAGTTCGTTTACTGAACTTAGTATGCAACCTAAATTAGTAACAGGTCTGTTTGTTGGTAGACGAATTAAATGTACATCAGCCCTCCTAGGCCAGATTCACCATAAACATTCGACTCTTTACTTTGATCATCTTTGAGGGAATTTTGCCAACAGATGAGAATATATTCATTTGGTGGTAAGTTCAGAGATGCTGGCTTTAGATCCAAACGATAGCCATCCCTCAACTGATAATTTCCTTGTTCTCATTGCATTGTTTTCACAGTAAACATCAAATAGAGGAAAATTCAAGCATGGATCCGTAAATACTGACAAATTACCATTTAAAAGTGCTTTTAAAATTGCCCGGTCAATATCCATCCCGTCTTCGTTCACACTGAAAATTGTGATCTGAAAAAAGAAGGCGTTAACATATAAAAAATGAGGTGATCAGGAACTGAACTGTTGCGAGTAAGAAGACCACAGCAACTAGAGAAATAAGAATCCCAGGCTGGCGCTGTGCTAAGCATTAGAGTTCTAGTCGCCATTTTACTTTTCACCCTTGAGGATCAGCGATCTTATGTCAAAATTGAGAAATTTCAAGAAACATTACGCAAAGTCTGTGGTATGATATGACCTCTGCAAATAAGAGGGGGGGGAAGAAAATAAGAAAAAAAAGACATACATATCTCTTGTTTCCCACGCATCTCAGAACATTTTCGTAGATCTTCAGACATTCTTCCTCATCACATTCAGGGAAAGCTTTTTCTATTTTGACGAACAGTTGGTGATGTTCCACAACATCTACCATTTCCTGAAGGTCTCCATCGCTGTGAAAAACGTCAACATTACTAACTCTATACTGCATTTAGTTGCTAGAAGAACAGATTAAGTGGGATAAAAGACATGCAGTCGTTAACAGCAACATTTGAAGTGTTTCTCCCTCTTTCGTTAGATTTATTCGTATGAGTGGTCCTGCAGATTTTTCCCTTTTTGCAAACGTTTCAACTAATGCTACTTGTTTGACTGTGGGAAGCATATGTGAACGTGTACTTATCAACCAACACGTCTCCTGTAAAACTCTCCCAAACGAAAACGCCTAGAAGGAAACGTCGCTTTTTTGAACATTATGTCATCCTCCACTGGAGTAATTGAAAATCCACGATAGTCGTATAAATTGTATTACTATAGAGAAATCAATCGAGTATTGTAAGCTATCCAGATAAGATTGGTTTTGCTTTACACCACTCTTCGACTGGCGCAATGCACATGAGATCTATCAGATGCGAACCCAATTGCAACTTGGTCAGTAACAATTTTTGCACGCTTGAATTGAGCAAGATAACTTACCTACTTATCTTCATGCAAGATCTGTCTCTGTTCTGACTAGAGTTTGCGATTACTTTGTTACTAGCTTTGCAGCTCTCAATGGAAAACAGTTTTGCCTGTTGTTTCGTTGGGTAACTTAAAAGATAACATTCTTTTAAACTGTTTGTTCTGCGGTGTTCGTTTGTTCCATGTAGGTCATAGTGAACCTAAACATTCACTCACCAGCTACTCTGAGAAATAAACCGATGTGCATAGGCCAAAATGTCTGCTGCTCGGCCACTACCTTCTGCAACAACTACTGGTACAGCAGGACTCCTTCCTACAGATTCTAGGACTGTGCGAATGGTGTTTGGGCCTCCTTCTAATACCAGGAGTACCACAGGTACACCATGCGTTCGCTCTGTTGACAGAAAGAAATTTCAGAAGTAAACAGTCTGAGTGGAACTATTCACAAAAATTTGCGGCGACCTCCAAT